TATAGGAAGCCAACATATGTTGGCTCCTTGCTTAATTTACTTTCCAACCATAGTTACAAGACTTAGGTTGAAATTTGGAAGTCAATGATTCTTAGAAGTATGAGGCTAGCGTATAGCAAATATTTGACTAAAGCTTTACAACGGCTGACAAATATAATACTTAAAAATAATTATCCTTTTGGCCTTATTGAAAATAATATCTCTCTACTGAGGAATAAATCTTCAGACGAAGACAATTTAGTCAAAGATAGACAAACTTAGACCTTTTCCCATGTCCTAATTTTGCCGTCAAGCCTTCTCCTAAAAAGATAGGCGATTTAGTAAGAAAGTTGGGCATTAAAACAGCGTTCAAAGAAACCCTCACACTCCCTTCTGTTATGCAATCTTTTAGAGAGAAATATGACCCACTATCGAGATCTGACTGCTACAAGATTGTTTGCTTATGTGGTCGATGTTATTTTGGTTAGACTTGTTGACCTATTCGAGAAAGATTGAGAAACATAAAAATACTTGTAAAGGAAGCTGAGTCAAACGCTCAGAAGTGGCCGAACCCATGGTAGAAACTGGACATTTAATAAAATTACCTCAAACGAGTAAGTTTGCTGATTATGGTACGTCTGTGATTAAAAGAAAGATAAGAGAGGTTATTGAAATTAATAGCTCAGAAAATACGTTGAACGTGAGTAACAGTGATAGAAAGTTGAGTAGGAATTACTTATGCTCAATTGATAGATTGAAGGAGAGACAGGATGTTGAGCCGCCGTCCGAAAGAAGGTGACTTAATTTGTCTTCTAAGTGATGGTTTTAATTTCGCTCACATTCGTCCAACATGTTAGAGTAAACTCATCAACAAAACCATAACTCAGATTACGCAACCCCATTATTACCTTTCCTTGGTGGGTTAAACGTTGGTGACCCTAGACTGAAAGGTTAGGACAAGTGGTTACGTAACTTGACTTACATGCTTACAAGCTCATATCGCATTATCTCAACCATACTTGTTTACGGACTTACGCAGTCTCGGTCAGGGCTTTCTCTTGGGTCATTAGTTCTTGAGGATCAGAACCTGAGATAAAACCTTTGACAACTCTGATTTAGGAACCGTATTACATATAGACGCTAGCATGCACACACACATACGCATACACTCGAGCAAAAGTAACAGAACCAGTATGAAAGATAATTAGCCAAACCATTCTATATCTATCTATATAGGTTTTTAATTTTCTTTTGGCTCAATTGAGCTTATATAAAAAGTAAGATGGAGCCGGATATTGTTCTTGCCCTAGTGTTAACGTAATAATTTTACAAGAATGACACCCAGCTCTGATGATATCCATCATATGATGGATAAAAGCTGAGCACGTTTTCACCCGAAACGAAGGATAAATTTTCGTGGACTACGTCAATATGAATATGGTATAAAAGCCAAATACCTGCAATATAACGAGATTTATAAGTACTCATCTGGTGAGATCGACCAACGAATCTCTTCTTCATTCACTTTCATACGAAATGAAAGTCCCCTTGACAATTTTATCTCAAGACATTCATCGATACCAAGTTTATCATCGTATCTGTGATGCACATTCCATGCACACCAACATATCAGGCGGAAGGCTCTCACGATACTACTGGAGAGCTTAGAAATATAATAGGACATCCTGGTGACAGAGAGAAACTGAAATGAGTCCCTGAACCGATAAATCAACCAGCTTGCGCACACAATGTAAAGAAATCGACAAAATGAAGGGCTCCGAAGTTTACAGCATAAACGGCAAGGACTATAATCAGCACACGGATCAACGAAAACCAGTAACTATGCGGAAAAATGGCGGCAGAAAGATCGGAGATCATTGAATACATCGCCTTTATCGGATACTCATTTGACTGAAGTGCAACGGAAAGGCTGGCCTCAGATGGAGCGGACATCAGAAACCGGAAGATAAAGAAGGCTGTGGACATTTTCTTTCAAATAAACCTACTTAGCAGGAAATTGGGTGAGGGAAGAGTCAGTAATAATTTTGCGCGCTGCTTGGGAAGACCTTTAGAGTCAGCTTGGACGCTTGGACAAAGTACAACTATTCAACCTCAAGAAGAGACATCACCAAGGAGAGGATCATGAGGGACAAACGTGACTCAAGATAAGGAGTCAAGCCTATAATCAGCTTGATTTCAGACAGCCATAGAGTGATTTTTATGCATAGCAGAGACTAATTTATAAGTGAGATGGAGGGGGGGCTAAATGTATGTCAGAAGTTATGCAAACAGCATCTGGAACCGGTGATGAAGACGATTACGCTTCATTAAATACACTTGTAGCGACACACTCTTATGCAACATTAGAAGAAACGAGATCACAGAATTATGTAAATAGTTGAATGGGCCATATCAAGTGGGGTTGAGATAAGGAGATGCAGCCCTAGAAGGTGTGACAATAAACATGTGAGACAAGTGATCGACAACAATTGAACAAAAAAAATTAGTCAAGGGAAGTGCCCTCATTTGTCACTTTGATATGCTGTAACTCTAGGTCATCGTCTCTACTATATAATTAAAATTTCTGCTCAAATTTACTAAGGCAAATTTTAAAGAAAAGACGCAGTTAAAATGCAAATTTGATTGATCAGCTCCCTTCTAGCTTAAGTCATTTTACCGTTTTTTATTTGATAAAAGGTTTTTGACATTGCTCTCGTAACTTGGTCATATTGGCAGAAAGACCTTGAGCAAAGCACATTTTCTGGAGTCCATAGTAATCGTGATCACTTCTAGAGTCGGACCGTGGACTTGGTACATTCCAAGACGTTTCGCCGGCATCGTAGTCTTTATCGTCAGTGAGCCTTGTCATTTTTAGCACCACACTACAACTCGTCAAAGAGACAAATGAACTCGATCTTTTGAACAATTGTCTGCTCATTCTGTCCTGGGGTATTCACCTATCCTATAACCTCGTGTCACCCCTTTAATATCAAAATTTCTCACTTGTTTATCTAAACCCATTTGAAACTTATTCACACTCCACGCTAGTTTCCACATGGCTCCCACTATGCCGGTAGTGTTGATCCAAGGCTGCAGTTTACTCCGCAATCCTCTCCCTTCGGGTCCTATCAGATTACTCTCTTGCTCCGTAGGATCCTTCCCTTATCAGCCTGTTTCAGGGATTTCACTCCATCGTTGCCACCGTATTCATGTTACTCAAGGCGTTTTATTTTACACTTTGCCTCAATCCCTTGCTATTACGTATATTCCAGCCTCACTGAGCAAGCCCCTAAAATCTGGATTCCCAATCGGCATGACGCTGCAGATTCCTTTATCGTTGTGAGGAATGTGCACAGAGCAAATCTCGTAGCCAGGGCTTTACTTCATGGAGCACGTCTATGAATAAACTTATCTACTAATAGCTAACTAGAAATGGTCCCCAACATTTCTCTCGCTCTTCTATCCCTGATGCCAAGTCTATAACTTTCTCTTGCATATCGAAAATTGGTCAAAGGATCGACTTCACTTATCTCTGACAAGTTGTAGTGTTGTGCTAAGAATAGGAAGGCTCACTGACGATGCCAACTACGATGTCAGCGGAAAGTCTGGGAATGTACCAAGTGCACTTTACGACTCTGGAAATTAATATGCATACTATAGACTCCAGACAAGATGTGTTCCTCAAGGTCTCCTTGCCAATATGACCAAGTTGGAAAACAATGTAAAACCACTTCTATACTATGAAAGAAGGCCGTAGCCATACGAAAGACCATACCACCCTGGTCTTCATACCTTATATTTTAATATTTAGTGCTGACACATCTAATTGCATTCTCATGCATCTATGATGTTCCTTCAAAGTTCATGAGACGTATGTGATGTGAAAGGGCTGACTTGATCCAAGGCTGATATATATTCTTCCGATTTCCTTGCAGTACTTTACTTTCTCTCGCTTTCTCTCCCTAATAGCATCCAACAGCCACAAATACTTACCATTTAATTGTCTAAACTGATTATTCGTATTCAGAGTGTCGATGGTTTTATTGGCTTATAAATCCTATATAATTTTTTGCTTACTTCACTATTGTGTATATCTTGCCAAAAATATAACTTTGTGGCCTTCTCTCCAGATAAGGTGACTACAATGTTTTATTTTCATCTGGTAGCGTCTATGTGGAAAAAGCTTAACAGCCATACATAAGAGACCACCTGAACTTAAAGGAGCCTGCAAATGTTTATGAGTAAAAAAACGACAACTTTCCGACGACATGGCTTACAGAAGATACTGGCCTAAAATAAAACGCTTAGAACTAGATTGGGTATTTAGAAGTAAGCCGAAGATTAAAGGGGCTATAAATATCATCAAACTGTCCAGCACACTAAGCAGAAGAACGAATGTTTAAAAATGAGTGACAACTACGTTTGACTGTTGGATGTTGCTAGAGAAAGCGAGATAGGGAAGATAACGTACTCTGAAGCAAGTAGAGGAAGCTTAACTAACCCCAAATGTAGCTAGCGCTCTCACGCCTCGCATTACGCATAGGCACCATAGAAAGCAGTTACATGCGGTAACACTATATGAGCAAAAGTTACATGTAATTTAGGATGGTTGTTAGCTGTTCGCTTATCAGCAGACAATTAATTTGCTATATATAGCCACTTAATGGTTATTCAAGCATATAGGGAAAGCATAGAACAATTAATTAAATGGTGATATGACTTAGTAAGTGGAAAAAAGGAATATACAAGAAGTGTAAAGAATTGCAGCCGGCCATCGTCCTTACCAAATTTGTTTTAACGATGTCTGTCACATGAAGAATAACAGCTCAGCAAAAATTCATCGTGTTTACATGGCGGTGTATCAAGATCTTATTTGAACTTAACACTATAACTCTTATAGAATCTTCCAAGGGCTTTAGGTGGGGTAACTTTACAAATCACTTTTACTCATATCCTCAAAATAAATGAAAGTTAAGCAGACTTTACTGAAGGCTATGATCTATAAACCGAGTTTTTTATTCATATAATGTAGCGTATGCCTTTATCGTCATAAAGATATAAATTATTTATAAATATGTTATCATGATTAAGCAAATTCTCAGATTGTACCAAGCATAAGCAAACAATTTTTTTAATTTATATTTTTTTAAGATAACCTCGTTTTAGAATGCCGAATCAATTAGGTCATTTTTTCCCTACCCTAACAACTTTATAATTAATTTTAATTTTATTTGGCCTGCACAAAGTCTAGAACCAAACACTGTAATTCAACATGTCAAAAGACCTATGATGAGGTGGGTTCACCTATCTCTCTCGAACACCACAGTGAAGTTACGAAAACACAATTAAGCTACTAAAGCGAAACGAGTTCATATATCCTAAAGTTGCAAGGTCACACGCTTAATAAGTCTGGATGTGGATCGACTCCTCATGCATTTTATAGAGTGTAAGTGTGGAAAAGACGCTAATTCGCTGCCCTCGCTTTTCTTAATAGCAATTTTAAATCAGCATTTATTCATCTTGAGTTGTCCGAACGGGACCTATACGTCAAAAAATAGTCATACTCGACGGACTTCATATGATCTATCGTGACTAAAATCGAAAAAGTCGGCTCGAAATCTATTTGAAGCACTACAGATATAGTGAAAACTTTTCGAATATCAATAAAGATAAATGCCATAATACGCGTTTAAAGAGGGATGAGACATCAATCTACTAGCATATTTTTCGTATAAAAATCTATAATTGATAAATATTCATACACTCTACACGACATGGAAAAGAAAAAGAATGCCTCAACAGACTCAATAATTTCTAACTCAGGCCGCAAAATATTAAATTGATCGAGCAGACTATAAAGTGGATTTTATCATATAAATAGTATAGGCAAACAGTCCAATACAAAATGGAGTTACTACAGAGAGATTTTATATTCAGAATGAAAATTTATTAACTCCATTGATGAAGCAAAAGGCACGCAGAGGGATTGTATTTCTTGCAGACCGACAACTAAAACATAATTTAAATAGTCTGCAAATTGATTGTATAAATATAATTAACTAGATAGATGCAATTAAAAGTAAATTTATT